GTGGGGGAAACCTCTTGTTTTAATAAAAAAAAGTAAAAGATGACAAGATAAATAAAAATGTTAATAAGTAAAACAATAAATACATTTAAAAAAAAGAAAGAAACAATAAAAAAATTCAAACCAACCCTGCCACTCCCGCTATCTGGTTAGCATTCTCCATGGGGGGAGGGGGGTTGGCAGGGAGGGGGGCGCATTACAGAACCTGGCCTTGAGGCAGCAGGGAGAGTGAATCCGGTCCTGCTTCGATGTCAGTCAATAATATAAATAACCACAAAATTCTTTCTTACGAAGTTTAGGACTTCATATACCACAGCGACCCCTAGTGGTCAGGTGTGATATCGCACAGACACACCCAGAGCAGAACAAATATAACAAATCATCATAAACACCTAAACCAATGAGAAAGAAGTTCCCAGGAATATTTTCCTTCATTTGTAGGTGAATTATAAATCGTAATCCGGTTCTAACACCCAACAGGGACCTTCTGCACGGAGCACTTGGTCCCATTCCAATCCGAGCTGTCGTTGCTGAGCAGCGTTATCAGACAGCTTGCACCCCCCCCCCCCCCCCCCAGCTGTCTGACAACGCTGCTAGCAAGGAGATGGATAGCATGAGTCTCTGGCAAACAGCGCACCTCGTATGTGATACCGTGTGATGGGTGGCGTGGCATTGCCAGTCATTTGATTTGCCTCTCAACACACCTCCAGTCGGCCATAGTATCATGGGAGCTCCTGAATGCTATGTGGAGGAATAGTCAAAAATGTACCCCGATGCAAATAACCCCCCCTTGCCCACAGACCCCCACAACCACCGGGTCAGGGTTGTGGGTAAGAGGCCCTTGTCCCCATCGGCACGGGCACAACCTCCCAATGCCGAGGGCACGTGGCCTGGTAAGGCGGGGGGACGGGGGGGGGCCTGCTCGATCCTCCCCCTCCTTTCCTGCCTTGCTCGGCCAGTGCTCAGATCAAGGGTCTGGTAGGAATGTTAGGGGGGACCCCACCTTTTTTTTCCATTTTTTGGGGCTAAGGGTTCCCCCTTAAAATTCCTACCAGACCTAAAGGGCCTGGTAGGGATTTTGGGGGGAACCCCACGCGCTTTTGTTTTTGTTTTAACTATTTATTGATCTGCTGTGACCTGCTGCAAACAATAAAGCTTATATCGGCTTATACCGGCCAGGCATAGAGGTCTCGGCAAGGGGGGTGAAGCTCTAATACAACAATCGGAGTCAGAATGAACTAGGGCTGTGAAAATTAAAGATTCATTTCTCGATTAATCGTTAAAACTTTTTGATCGATTAAAATTATTTTGATCGCTAATGAAAACACTCTCCGCCAGGTTCCGGGAGTCCCGTCGGCGATCCGGTGACGTCACGGACATCGACGTGTCGATGTCCGTGACGGCTAACGAAGGGAAGGGGGGAGGAGTCCGGTGACGTCGATGTCCGTGACGGCTAACGAAGGGAAGGGGGAGGAGTCCAGTCAGGGCTGGTGCTAGGATTGTGGGCAAGGTGCAATTTTGCGCCCCTCCGATCCCGACCCCCACCCCCTGTAAAAACAGGGCATTTTGACAAGTACTCGTGTCGCGCGTGTCGGGATCCTCAGGCAGTCGCCGGCCAGCTAAATTAGGACCCCACCTGGAGCTCCTCCCACCGGACCAGCGCTGACTCGCCGCTGCTCTCCCGCACCGAAGGTAAGTAAAAAAAAACATAGAGCAAACATCGGGGCATTTTGACAAGTACGAGTACTTGTCAAAATGCCCTGTTTTTTGCTCCCTCACCCTGCAGCGCCGTAAGGCGCCCGCCTTACTTGCCTTGCGCTAGCGCCGGGCCTGAGTCCAGTGACGTCAATGTCCGTGACGTCACCGGACTCCTCCCCCCTTCGTTAGCCGACGGAGCCACTTGGGCCGGGGAGTTTGCCCGAGAAACGTTCTGCACGAGCGCCAGCCAAGGCATCGGCCTATACACATACAGCACAGCAATGAAGTAATAAAATGAACTAGGATCACACTCATCCAGCACGTTATTCATCTCAAGTGCCCCACTCAAGCGGCAGCCATATTGAGTGGGACACGTGAGATTAATAACGTGCTGGATTAGTGTGATCCTAGTTCATTGTATTACTTCATTGCTGTGCTGTATGTGTATAGGTCATTGCTGTGCTGTATGTGTATAGGTCATTGCTGTGCTGTACGTGCATAGGCCAATGTAGTTGGATCTGTATGTGCATTATAATTAATCGAAATTAATCGATTTGAAAAAAATTTGATTAATGAACACAAAAATTTTAATCATTACCGGCCCTAGAATAAACCTTATTCATTTTTTAGCTTTTAGTTGCTGTGATTGGTGTGACATTGCGCGGCAACACCACGGTGTAATGTGGCTTCAAAGTCACCCAGGGCTCCCAGCCGGAGGGGCTGAGCGGCTCCAGGAAAGTGCTTTTACCAGGGACGAGCCGGCTTTACAAGTATTTCCGGGTTTTCCGGATTATAGTTGGGATCCCGGAGTCGGGAGATTTCTAAGAGAACTGGGAGGGGAGAAATCCTCATTCCTGGGTCCGGGCTTTAGTGGTGACCGGCACCCAATGATGGCGCACCTGTGTACAGGAAAGGATGCTGGTTCAGGGTTCCACCTGGGAGACAGAGGAGGTCTCTGTGCAGGGGTCAGGAGGACTCCCCCAGGAACCAGTCTGTGGGGTGTATCACCTGTGTGGTGAAGAGGACAAGAAGCAGCCCGTGTAACACGTATGTTGGGTACAACCTGCGTGTGAAAGGTTTTGTTTGAAGGAGCAACCTGAAGTCGGTGAGACTTTACTAATGATCCTGATGATACCAATGTGATGGTTGGGGGATATCATGTATAGCACAGTGTATATACTGCTCATGTGACAGGGTGACAATGCCGGTGAACAGTCAGGAGACGGAGCGTTGTCATCCTAAAAGAGGAAGTGCCTAAGCGAGGACCTCCGTGGCGGGATCAGAAGGGGTTCTGTTGATGAGAGCGGAGAATTGAAAAAAATTGCAAATGCTTTGTGACATGACACCGACATGGTAAAGCTTGTATGAGAATGTATGACCCACCGCACCTGCACCCCCTTCTCTTACTACCTACCGCACCTGCACCCCCTTCTCTTAGCACCCACCGCACCTGTACCCCCTTCTCTTAGTACCTACCGCACCTGCACCCCCTTCTCTTAGCACCCGCTCCCCCTTCTCTTAGCACCTACCGCACCTGCACCCTCTTCTTTTCGCCACTACTGCACCCCCTTTTTGTAGCACTTTTTTTTCCCCGAAGCCCGTGGAACGTGCGTCTAAACAAACTTCCCCCTGTGAACAAAAAAAGTGAACCGTGAAATCACAGCACACAAAAACGTGCACAAGGGTGCAAGGTCCTTCAATAAAGAAGGGAC